GGGGGAGGGAAAGCACCTGCTATCTGCTCTCCACCCCAGAGGGTGGACTTATCAGGGCCAGGCCCAGCACCAGCCACAGGCGGTCTACACTCGCTTGGCAGGATGGGAATGGGGGAGAGGAGGAGGGACGCAGGGGCTGAGCATGTCTGTTCCCCTCTGCCCGCTCCAGACCTGCTGGGCCCAGGCCAGCAACACGAACTCTAGGCACAGAACTGTCACCGCTGTCACGGTGGCTGGTGGGGTAGGAATCTCATTCTCGGGAGGGTGAGTCTGCTAGATAAAGGAGCTAAGGTATGTACACCTGCCCTCCCCAGTGCAGAGACCACAGAAAAGAAGGGAATGCTACAAATTTAAAGGGTGGGGAAGAACCTGCTCACAGTGCTGAGAGCCTGGCTGAGGGAAGAGTGCAGCGTGCAAAGGGACAAGGCGGAGGGCTGTGAAGGGGCCAAACAACCGCTGCCCAAGCACGGGCCAGGTTAGATCTGCGGATGAGTTCTGGGTGCAGCGGGGCCTACGACTGGATCCTGAGCGATGGCTCCGTGGGAGATGTCATATCTCTCAGTCAGGGTCCTCACTTCCCTTGCAGAGGTGACTGAGGTCCAAGCGATGTCAAGCTCACATGGAGCTGGTAAGGGCTGGTGTCAGCTGGTCTGTGCTTTCAGGCCCTTCCTCCAGCTGCCCACCTCCCAGTGTCCTCTAGATACTGTGGGGCAAAGGCTCAGAGCTACATTAGGTCACAGAGGCAGGCATGAGCCCCTCTAGGATCTGACCAGATCTCTGCAGGTGTGCCCCACTCTCCACCCCATACACCAAAGGCCAGGAGCGATGGGGGCACAGCGTGCTCTGCATGGCAGTTAGGGTACTGCCCAGCCGCTGTTCTTCAAGCCCCTTCAGGGAGGTCATGTCCTGGTGTGTGCACCTTTCCCTCTTGGCAGCTCTCGCTGGCATTTTGGTTCCTCCACCACACCAGCAAGGATGTCCCCAGCACCTGCCAGTTTCTGGCCTCAGCACCCATGTGCGGGTGAGGGACTGGGTCAATGCCCTCCTGGTTCTCCAGAGACTAAGGCAGCTCAAGGTGAAGGTCCTGGACCAGAGGCACCATGACTCACAGGTCTCAGGCCCAAGGTCAGCCCAAGAAGTCTTTGCCACCTCCTGACCTTTATGCTCAGTTTTAGAGGAAGAAAAGGGTAGGGGAATTGGTCAGGACTTTCCCCCACTGTCAGGAGCCCATCATTTTCATCAACACTCAGATAAGGAAGGGAGCACTCTCAGGGCACATAGGGTCCTTAGACTCTGTCCTCCCCAATAATCATGGGCTAGGCCTGACCCTGAAGAATAGCCACGTAGGACAGGGGAAAGAGATGCTCCTCCACTTTAGAAGCCACTCCCCAGGGAAGAAGGAAGTCATATTAGAGTTTTCTAGAGGAACAGATTCAACATAAAATATGTGTATGATTGTACAGAGATTTATAAGGTAAGTTTACAGGATCATAATGAGAACACTCCCATTGGCTGTCTGCTATATCAGAGATGGGGGAATCTAAAATGGCTGCATGAATTCTGGATAGCCAAAGTATCCAGTAGCAATTGGAGACCAAAGGCCTGGAGGCTCCCAGTTACATAAACTGTATGACACTTCCATTTGATGCTGAACTGTTGATGCACACATACAATTTTATGACTCTGGGAGTCAGATAGCACCTGGTAACCTAGTGTCTCATGAGTAAGCATCAGTTTCCACTAAGTCCAGATAGCAGGCCAGGAGCTATTCCTCAAGTTATTCCCCAGGAGCTATTCTCAAAGGGAGAGTAGTTATCCGCAGAAAACAGCAACCTGAACCTATTGCAAAATCTTCTCTTGTTCTGGGTCCCACTCAAAACTAGAGGCTTTCTGAGTCACTTGGTAAACAAGCTGGAGCAACACAACTCGTGAGAAATGTGCCTCCAAAATCCAAATGGGTCCACAGGGCACTGTGTCTCTCTTTTGGTTGCAGAAAAGGCCAGATGCAACAACTTATTCTTTGCCTTAGAAAAGGTACTGCATGCCCTATACCACTGGACTCCTAGAAATTTCACTCAGGTGGAGGGACTTTTAATTTTAGTTGGACTTATGTTCCCATTGGCACACAAATATTTTCTCAACAAGTTCAGAGTCTTTGCTACCTCTTGTTCACTTGGTCTAATTGGCCTAATGTTATCAACGTAATGTACCACTGTGATACCTTGTTGAAGAAAAAGATAATTAAGATTGGTGTGAATTAAGGTCTAACATAGGACTGGAAATATATGCCGCTGAAGTAGGACAGTAAGGGTGTAGTGCTGCCCTTGCCATCTGAAAGCAAATTGCTTCTGGTGGGCCACGTAGATAGGTATGGAGAAAGACATTTACTAAATCAGTAGTTGCATAACATATACCAGATACCAGGACACGTGTTAATATGATCAGGCAAAACAAACAAACAAACAAACAAAACCACATCTGGTACAGCAGTTGCAGTTGAGGTCACCACTTCATTAAGCTTAGTGTAATCCACCATCATTCTCCAGAATCTATTCATCGCCTGCATAGGCCAAATTGAAGAGTTGCACAGGGATGTGGGAGGAACTACCACCCTTGCATCTTTCAAGTCCTTGTTAGTGGATCTGCCTCCCCGCCAGTGTGGAGGTTTAGATTTTACCTCTAGCATTCCCACTTCCTTGGGCCTTTGAATACTTTCAAACCAGCGAGTAGCAAGCATCTCCAGTTCATTCACAGGGGCCATCTTTTGATCCATTCCTCAGCTAACCAGCCAATCAAATAAACTATTAGCACCTTTTTTAACTCCAGAAGCTACAACTTTAAATTCAGAATCGCTACTTAACAGTTCCCATATCAAGAAACTAAGCTTGAGCCAGGTTTGTATTTCTTCCACCATTATCCCACACTCTTAAAATTCTTCTCCATACTTGTTCCTCAGGCCTCTGGAAGAATTAGAAAACTCAAAAAGTTCTTTGAAAGCATATAGAACTCTTCATGGGTCACATTGTATACTTCACCTACAGAAGCCTTCTGACATTACATATAACCTCTGCATCTGGTTATAGATACAGAGGCAAAAGTAGGGGGTGAGGGTGGGTCCTGAGGAGTGTCAGCAATGTCTTACTTGGTAACTGCACCAGGGATGGTCATTACCATTTCCATAGACAACACAGGATTGGATTCCTCAGGTAGGAGGAGAGGTCCACACAACAGGGAGTGGGGGTGGGCATGCTTCTACCACCGAGGGTGGGGAACTCTCTTCTGGCAAAATAATCTCATCAGAATTTAGGAGTTCAATGTTTTCAGCCTCTTCTGATTCCTCCCAAACAGCTCCTTTCCAATTTATGGGGATCTCATTCCTTTCCGATCAATGCCCTCACCTCACTTTAGAGACCCTTGGAGACTGAGCATTAAACTTGCTCTGTAATTCAGCCAAGAAAATTATGCGGGCTTGTGTTGGATTTCAGCAACTTCAGCCTAGCAGCTACAGGAGAGAAGAGCCTCCTTCAGTACATACTTAGGAACCTTAGATTCTTTATGTGTGTCTGGAGCTGGGAAACTGAGTCTCTGAGCTTATTTCCTTCATTAATTTGTCTTTGTAGTTCAAATCCTTTGTTTATGCTTGTCTGGAGTTTATGATTTCCTTTACTAGTTTGTCCACAACTCAGAGCAATCAACCAGCATCATTATATTTCCTAATTCCAAAAATATTCAGAAGTATTAAGCACAGAGTCTCTATGTTCCTTTCATCTCACAAATGATGAATTAATATAATCAAATGCATCCATGTTACATATTCCTCTAATCAGATTACACTATGGATTATCAGTACTCTGTACATTATCAGAATGAGACCAATTTAACTTTAGGTTTCTGAAAATTAGAAAGTCAACTCCAGGAATAACTAAACCTATTAGAGAAATTCATCTCACAATTCTGTTTCTTTAGGATTACTTCTGGTATCAAAATCTGTATTTCTTAGGATTCTATACAGGAACAGATTCAATACAAAATAAATGAGTAATTATACACGGCATTTATGAAGCAGATTTACAGGATTAGAATCAGAAGAGTCACATGCTTTCTACCAGTAAGAGATGGGAGAATCCAGAGTGTCTGTCTACATGCTAGATAGGTAGAGGATGCAGCAGTAGTCCAAGTTTGAAGGCTGTAAGCTCACTGCACAAACACTGGTGAGAATCTCTGCAGAAATCTAAAGAGCCTGTGTTGGAAGTCTGAAGAGTCTTCACTGGAAGCCTGAAGGAACCAGAGACCAACATCCAAAGGCAGTGGTAAAGATGAGAAGGGGGAAAATACTTCCTCTTTCTTTCCCTTTTTATTCTGTCCTTAATGGTTGGTTCCACCCACATCTGGAATGGGTCTGGCCTACACGTCACTCATCCACAGATATACAGAATTAATAATCTGCTAGGTGGGTCTTACTCAAGTCAAGTTGACAAATCACAATTAACAATATCAGAGGGGATGGTGTCAGGCCAGGACTCACAAATGTCACTTCCTGGTTAAACTGGACATGATGAGTCAGGTTGTGTCACATATACAGGGAGGAGGCTTACGGAGAATCTGCTAGGGCTTCTGGGATGCTTGTCCCCCTTATGCCAGGAATTGGGAGAGCCCCCTGCTAAAAATGTATTGCACAAGCTTTTCCACTGCTGGGACACAGTACCGAATACCCACTACTTAAATGAGGAAGGCTCGTTTGTGCTGAGGGCTTCAAGGGCTTCAGTATGGGCTCAGCTGGTTCCAAGACGAGGACTTGGACAGGCATGGGGAACAAAGCAACTTAGTTCATGGGGTGCAAAACTGCTTATTTCATGACAGAGCAGGGGAACAGTACCAGAGAAGAGGGGCTGGGGGCCATACACAGTACCCAAGGTCATACCTCCACGACCCACCCAGGCAACCCATTGTGCTTTGCAATTCTACTATGCATTTATTCCAATCAAATTGATGTGTCAGGATTAACTATCACATGAACACATCTCTTTATTTTAATCTGGGATCATCTCTCATCTCTCAGACCCAGAAAAGAAAACATTTTCTTTTCCCTTCCTCCATCCCAGTATCAAAGCCCTCATCTCAGGTTCTGTGAGTTCTAAGAAAGTTGCCTGCATTGACATCTTTAAAACTCAAGACAGAACCAGCTTCCACGAGTCCCAAGTTGTGGAGGGCTTCCAGTAGTTCCTCCCGGGCAGCACCAATAAAGGAATTTTCCAGGAAGGCAGGAAGGCCTCCCACACCATCTCGAAGGGTGTACAGGGGCACTCGCACCAGGCCCAGCACCTGTGAAGGGAAGGAGTCAGTATACAATTTTCTTTCTAGCAAGATCTTTCAAGAGCTGAGGGCTCACTTCCTTACACCCCAGCAGAACTATCCCCAAGGGTCAAACCTCACCAGGGCTCACAGGCCCAACCCTGTACAGGTAAATGATCCAGGACGTGCTTTCCAGCTCCACAAACCCACATCACTCCCTGAAACCTGTAGGGGCCCCCGCCTCCGGGATGCAGGAAGAGCCCTAGACCTCTGGTTCTGAAATGTGGAGTTCATACCAACTATATCAGTACCACTTGGGAATGCATGGAAAATGGAAATTCTTAGTTATTCCTCCCATCCTGCTCCCCTGCCAGTAACTGCGAGTAGGGTCCAGAATTCCTATTTTAGCATATGTGCTACCAAAGAGAGCAGAGCAATAGTTGTTTTATAAGCTACTTCCCTACCAGCGACGTTCTGATACTTGCTAAAGTTTGGGAACCACCTCCACTCCCAATATATCTTCCTACTTCCCCTAACCTTAAGTATCAGGGGCATATTTTCTACCTAAGAATAATAAACACCCAAAATTAAGGGCAAGGGTGTTACGCCCGGCCACGCTGACATTATCAAAAGGGAAGAGTGGAGCCGAGGGTGGATGTGTTCTAGAGAGATCTCTGAGGCAGTGCAGTAGCGGGGGACAGGCCTTCCCAGAGACCAGGTTGGCACTATTATCCAGCTTGAAGATGACCACGACCCTAATTAGTCCTGGAAACTGGGAAGCCTGCAAGGTCTGGCGGGCTATGACTTCCTTCCAGGGAACCCATCTAGGGAGGGTTTCTCCTGGGGAGAAGGAATTCATGGGGTAAAGAGGGAGCCCGGATGTGGGATGGGCTCCTGGCTGGCCCCACCTCCAGCCCATGGTCCTTGGCTTTTGGTGCTCCAGCTTCCACCGCCTGCAGCTGCTCTAGCGTCAGTTTCTTGGCATAGAAGTGCCCCACAACATGCGAGGTGTCTCCTGCACGTGAGCTGCGGTAGTCTGTGCGCCCCACGCTGAAGGCGGAGACCGCTTCGCCCAGCTTCGCCAGCAGCTCTCGGTTCAGTCCATCCTCCAAGGTGCTGTGCTTCGAGTCCACGAAGCCACCTGGGAAGCCCAGGCGCCCATCGAAGCGCATCTGCATCTGCCAGGGAGAGAAAGGGAGTTGGCGGGGTGCCCAGGCAGTGCTACCCGGATGAGTGCGAGGCCCGGGCGGGCAGGGGCCAGGCGCGCCTCTCCTCACCAGCACGGCGTACCGCAGCGGGATGCGGCCGAAGAGCATCCCCGGGTCTGGCGCGTAGAGCATCACAAAACACAAGTGCCTCCACTCAGGCCCTAAGGCCAGGGCCTCCGCCAGCTCTATCTTACGTGACCCTGACATGGTCTAAGGTTTCCTTTGGTTATGTGGTCAGCCCCCCTGCTTAGGTGGGCGAGTCTCACCCACACCAATATGAGTGTGGGTGGGCCCACCAGGGCCAATCCTTGGAGCCAGGAGCTTGGCGTAGTAGCCAATCAGGGCGAAGCTCTCAGAACAAGGGCCAAGGGACCCTTGGGAAACTGAAAACTTTCTTGCAATTGGGCCTCAAGCCAGGGAGGGGCTTGAAGGCGTGGCAGAGGCTCTGAAGCTGGTCCTCAAAGGATAAATGCTGAAGTCATAATTTGGAGCAGCTGGGGTTCTTGCAAGGTCTGGAGAGCTGGACGGCTCAGGATAGTCTGAGCAGAATTTAATTACTAGGGAGTTCTGGGAGGTGAAGGAACAACAGTATTGAGAGAACTCCCAGAAGTTTGGTAAGGGTAGTTTTGCAGTTGGATTAGGAGGAATGTAGCAGGGCTGGCTTCAGAGATCATGGCATGTCCTATGGTAGGGGGATGGAGAGATGTGATGGGTAGCCTTTTTAGTGGCTGCCCCTGGCTCAGATGAGTTTTTCTTTCTGTGTGGTGATCTACTGCTGATTTGTATTGTGGTGATGGCACAATAAACATTGACCACCTCACAGTTATCTAGGTCAGGAATTAAGGAATGGTTTATCCGGATGTGTCTGACTCAGGGTTTCTCAGGTTTTGTAGTACAGATGCCAGTCAGGGTTGCAGTCAAATGAAGGCTTAAGTAGGGCTGGAGATTTGCTTTCGCTGGCAAGTTGATGCTGGCTGTGGGCAAAAGGCCACAGTTTCACACTATATAGAGATCTCCATCTGTTGGAACATCTTGGTGTGGTGGCTGGCTTCCTCCAGAGCATAATTCAAGAGAGAACAAGACAGGATCTGTGTCTTTTATGATGTAGTCTGTCATACATTCTCACTTCTACAGCACTCTACTGGTTGTACAAGCTTGCCCACGGTCCAACATGAGGAGGTCCACATAGGGCTTGAATCTGTGTGCAGAAGGAAGGACCACTGGAGGGTCATCTTGGAGGCTGGCTACCACACTTGCCTCTCTATATCTGCCATAATCACCATCACATTTTATGTGCCAGCAGCAATAAAAGAGGAAGAGTAGGTCCAGGGTTTTTTTATGCATGTAAGATCTTTTCTTCCTTTTTATTTGCCTGGTGAATTCTTATTCAAAATTGTGTACCTCTACTTAGTGCCTGGTACAACTCAATACAAGTTGAGCTGAAGTCTGAAGAATTATCTGCAGCAGAAGTAGCCTTGTGTTGCCCTCAGTCCAAGTCTGTCATTCTCCTAGTGCAGAAGAACATGGCCAGCTGTACCAACACATTTCCAGCCTCTGAGTATGTCTGCCAGCCAAAACAAACCCATGGAGTCAGGAAATACTGAGAACAACTGCAAACTTACAAGGCAACAGTCAGGGATACAGCAAGGAATGAACTGAGCCAGAATATTCAACTATCAAAGCAGGAAAAAGTCACAATATTTTAGAAAGACAAACATGTTTCTAGCTGTTGAAAGATTCCTTCCAAACTAAACTTCCACATCTCTTTTGAAAATACTCTTTTTGGAGTCAAGTTTTCAATGCTGTCTCAGTTTTCTTTCTGTTGCTATAACTGAGTATCACAGGCTGCATTGAATATTGGGTTAAATAACCCTTAGTTATTGCCAGATGATCAGGCCCACAATCTCCCAAGCAAGTGGATGGTGAAGGCTTAAATAAATGAGACAATGGAAATGATTTCAGGGCTCCAGAAGGGACTAACTCTCTTACAGCTTTGATATTCTCTGAGTTTAGACAAAGACTTCTCTGGGCAGCCCGTATTTATTTGGTCTACAAACAAGGGAGGAGGATACTCAAAAAAACACAGGAATCTCGCAGGACCTTGGGAGAATTTTCCCAAGTAGTAAATTATGTCAATCAGGAGAACTACCTTATCTTTAGGTTGGTATTTATTGTAGGAGTGTGGAGTCTGCAGCTGTAGTCTCCTTGTAGTTTACTGGGGTTGGAGCCAAATGTCCTCAGCTGTAGCTTTATCTTGTCCTTTGAGGTGTCACAGTTTCACAGGTCAATACAAGCCTCAGGGTGACCAGGAACTCACAGAGGTTTACTCACTATGAGTGTCTGCCTATCTTTAGACAAGGTGCCTAAGCTTCAGACAGTTCATAAGTCAACACGGAAAGCCAATTGGTTAATATTAAATCCTGCCCAGAGCCACTTTGTAGTGGTCTCCAACAAGACTGGGTAATTCAGAAAGAAAAATATTCAGATAGTGGTTCTATAGTCTGGGATGTTCAAGATTGAGGGGGGTCAGATTTGGGGGGCACTTTGCAGAGTCCAAAGGTAGCACAGGGCATCATGTGGAGAGAGGATCATCTACAAGAGACAAAGCCAGAGCTGCCTTTTATAGCAGGCTCTCTCTTGAGATAACCACTGATCCATTCATCCATTAACTCATACGTGCATCTTCCGGGATAGCAGAGCTCTCATCTAATCACTGCTTACAGGTCCCAGCTGGTCCCACCACTTACTACCTCACAATCGGGGTCAAACCTCACAGTGAGTTCTGGTGGTGTCATTCAAACCATAACCCTGTATAAACAGTGGCTATGGTACTCCTCCTGAGTATTTATAAATACAATATTCTATAATATATGTTTGTCGAAGCAAATTTATGAACTTCCTTCTGAAATTAGGAAGAACTGAGGCTCCTAAGGGTTCTGGTGATAATGACTACTTTGCAACTGTGCAGGTAGGTGAAGGAAGGGTAGAATGGGTTCAGTGCTGGCCCTGCAAGCCATTTCCTTGCCTTTTAGAGCTGCTTGCTACATGGTGCGCTCAGCTTTTAGCTGGCTCCTGCTGATCTCTAGCCAAGGGTAAGCTGAAAATATCTAAAATATCAAGTGTTAACTGAAAATATCTAAATATCTCAAGCTGAAATATCTAAAACATCTAAAGGTGTTTACATGTTGGGGTGCATTTATGTAGTAATAGTAGAACATAGAAGCCTAAGGAAGCATGGAGTGATGAAGTAATAATGATGGAAGATCGAGAAGCCTCACAAAGTGAATTGTGGGGAGCAGCTAAGTTGGAGATCGACCACACATTTGGGGTTAGAGCAAGGCCAGCCCCAGGAAAAACACAGCACCCCTGAGCCTTGTGAACAAGATGTTAGGCTTACAGCAAAGCCAGTCCCGGGGACACAGGCTGGAAGAGGCGGACCATGTAAACAAGTTGACCTCTAGCTCAGCGGCACATCGCATCTGGCCTTGGTGTTCCTCTCTGTTAACTACAGCACAGACAGCTCTGAAAATGTCTCACGTTCCACATTCTCCGCACACCACTGAGACCTTGCACTTTCCATCCCTTTTTACTGTATATAAATAAAGACGCAGATTGTGCTGGGTTGTTGCTGCCTCTCCATCAGAGTCCTGTCCCGCCCCATTTTATTATGTCTCATCTTTTCTTAATCTCCCATTGCCCCCTCTCAGGACCCCTCAGGCCATGTGGGTTTCAGCAGTGAATGAAACCTCCTCTGAAATCGAGAATGTTTTATAACAGGTCCATATACACATTAGGTCACCACAATGGCAATTTTGCATGATCAACCATTATCCATATTCTTTACAGCAGTGGTCAGACATAGGCAGGACACAGATTTGGAGAAAATGACTTGCTCTAGATCACACAGTAAGTGGCAAGTAGGGGTCCTGAATCCAAGTCATCTTGTATTGCTCAGGTTTTTTTCCCCTTGAACAGGTTGTGGTAGAAGGATTTGAAAACATTTTTTACATTGTGTCTACCCCAGCTTCCCCTCTTCTGTTCCTCCCACTCCACCCCCATCTATTTCTCTTTGCTTCACTTCTGCTCCTTTATTATCTTGGTGGCCTCACTCCCCTTCTTTCTGACACACTAGTTAGTAATCCCATCATTTTAGAAAAGGACCATGGAGTTCCCCTAGCCTTGAGCTACAGTTTAATTTGACAGCCTCCTTTATCCTGAGCCCGCTGTGACGGTTCAACTCTTCTATAATAGACCTACAGCTCTGCGCCAGCTTCACCCTGAAGACATTTAAATAATTAACTCCCATTACTCTCCTTTGTGTGTTTTATCTCTACATCACCCAAAATAGCTGCTGGCATTTCTTTTGCATAAATAGAAAGCAAAAAGGTCAACTGGCATTTGTGTGTGTGTGTGTGTATATATATCTATTTAGGAAAGTAGCAAGGTCCTTTATTCCCTCATAGCTGTTACAGTTTTATACCAAGCAACTTCCTAGGTCTTTAACTCCTTGGCCAAATTTTCCTGCTGTCTTGCATTTTGGTTAGTTATTAATTCTTAGTCTGCAGTGGCCTAAGATGAAGAGTATGTATAGGAGAAAGAATTTCCCTAAAGGCAGTGGTATAGAGATGTTTTCCCTAAGTCCTGTTAAATCTTGTTCCCCACTTCACCCCAGTGAACCACAGGAAAGGTAAGCTTGAATGAGCTTCTTTTAAAAAACATGAAACCATGATGCAAAAGAGTATTTTCCCACCTCCTTTTCTTTATAAGCCCAATGTGGAATACAGCAAAAATCCCTGGAGGGCAACATATTTTCAATATGCACCTGACTTCTTAGAAACATGTTCTAAAATGCAGGGCACTGTCCCCTGGGCATGTTGATCTGTTTTGAAAGATGGTAGAGACTCTGAAAATGTACCAATTTCATCTTCAAACCCAGCAACTCACACAGCATTCTCTGTTCTGATGTAAATACCATCACCAGGAAGACTTAGAAACGTTTATTAATTTGGGTTTTATGAGCGTCTGCCTTCTTCCAGACTTATTTGCAGTCTGCTTGGTCATAAAAGGACATGGGGCATTCTTCCCGGGGTGAGGTCAATTTCTTGTTAATGCACACACTCCAGCTCCTCTCTTCTCCTCTGAGTAACAGTTATCATTAGATGGGTATGTTACACTTAATAAGATACTTTCACACAGCAGGAAGAGAAAGTAGGTGATTTATTTTTATTAATGAAATATTCATTTATTATGAATAAAACTTTTCAATGCTTCATGAATGAGTCTGGGGAATAAGTTACAGAAAGGAATCACTTTTAGCAATTTTAAACCAAGTCCTTATGTTTAGGTACTTCTTGCTTGTTTGTCCTGAAGGAGAAAAAGTGCACCAAAAACAGCTTACCCAAGACAGACACACCTGCCCTAGCCAACTCAGCTTGTCGGAGGCCAGTGTCCAGCGATCTTCACAAGCAAGCTGGCTATGTTTCCATAGGCTTCTGGTGGCTGGTACTGAGCCCTGTCATCCAATTGGAAATAATAAAGGGTATCTGGCCCCTTTCTCTGAGGCAACCAACAGGATGATTCGACCCAGCTGGAAGCCCTGAAATGATGGAAATCCTTTGCAGGACACCAAACCTGATGCATAAGTTGCCACAGAGTATAAATCAAACAACACTTAATGACCATTGACTCCAAGTATAGGCCGCCACATTTACTGGTCTCCCAAGCAGTCATTACTTCTGGCAGAGAACTAAAGATAAAGACAGTAGCTAGAGTGATATACCCTTTCCACCATAAAGACCAGCTTGTATGCTTCATGGAGTTCCACTGAAATTTGTCAACTTGAACTTCTGCTTGTTTCTGACATTCTTTAGTGAGTGTTCTGGAGAGGGGCCTCCTTTCCCACTGCAATCAGTAACTGCTCCTCAAAGTAGAGGAGCTGATCAACTTCAAAGCAATCACTCGCCCAAGGTACCACTTTTTCAAGATACTTGCGGATCTCTGTTTCACTGGCACCCTGATGCCTTGCTGTCTTCAGGTAATTATAGACTTCTTCAAATACTTCTTCTCCCAGCTTCTTCATGGCTAATCTGCCAAAAAAGATCAGGAATCACCAAGAGCTATACATGGAGAATATCTGCGAGAAAATGTGTTTTCAAATCACTGATAATACTAATAGCACCCCTGCCTTGAGATTTAGGAAAAAAAGAATAAGGCAATAGTATCTCATCCTAAACATTAAAAATTATTTAACAACTTGAATGCCAATCATGTTTCAAGTCTTCCAAGAACTATGAGTATGGCAGTAACGAGTTAGGCAAGTTTTTGCTGCTGTGTGTGTGTTCAGTTCTCATCACTATAATGAAATGCCTGAGACAGGGTACTTATAATTGTTATGGTTGATACATCGTGTCACCTTGAGGAGCCTAGAGCTTAACTAAGTGACTCAGCACTTCTACACCCTGGGGTGAAAAGTACATGGCCTTCCCACTCTAGGATGTTGTTCATTGTGTCCACTTGAGAAGTTTAGAAGGTTAATGATGTTACTCAACAGGGAGCCAGGGTGCTTACTTTGTATTCATCCTGAGCCTGTGCAAGAGGAGGGCACAGAGATGCTGTGGGTGCGGGTGGATAGCCCATACAATGTAAGAAGGCAAAAGAGGCTTGCTCCCCATTTTTGCTCTTGCTGCTTTTGCTGTCTTCTGCCACCTTGAACTGTTGCCCTTGTGCCCTGCCACTCTGAGTTGGAGCCAGCTGATTATAGACTGAAACCTCCACAAACTGTGAGCTAAATAAACCTTTCTTTCCTTAATTTTGGGCTTTGGGTATTTTTTCTCAGCAATGAGAGAAAAGAAACTAAAACAATAATGTAAAGATAGATTTATTTAGCTTATAGTTTTGGAGGCTTTCAGTCCAAACAGCATTACGAGGCTGTGTGGTGAGGGCTGGCCTGGACCACATGACCACGATCAAGGCCAGCACAAAATGGTGGGAACGTACGTGAGAGCACACAATTACATCCCAAACCAAAAGCAGAAAGAGAATGGGAGGGCCCAGTTTGCTGTTTTGGTAGCAAATCTCAAGAGAACTCAAGGGGTCATACATAAATTTCCTTATGCTCCCGTGACCTCAGGGTCTCTCCAGAAGTTCTACTCCCTCCAACAGCACCATGCCTTCACCACAATGGACCCTTCAGGATACATCATGTCACCTTGAGGAGCCTAGAGCTTAACTAAGTAACTCAGCACTTCTACACCCTGGGGTGAAAAGTACATGGCCTTCCCACTCTAGGATGTTGTTCATTGTGTCCACTTGAGAAGTTTAGAAGGTTAACGATGACGTTACTCAGCAGGGAGCCAGGGTGCTTCAGGAATCCGATCATATCTGCACCATTGCACACACATGTCCACATATGTTCACATATTGTGCATGTATACATAGATATACACATAAGAAAGAAGATAATAGGTAGTACTGAATGAAATAAAGAGGGTGGGAGGATAGGGAAATCCTGAGGATGAGGAGGTTGTCATTTGAACAGAAACTCTTACGAAGTAAGGAAAATGGAAAACACAAGAAGTGAGAGAATTTGGGCCCAGGACTAAAATATAGGGAAATATCAAGGTAGGATGACTGCTACTAGAAGAAAAAAGAGCAGGAGGATGGTGGGATAAAGCATAATAGCTGATAAAATGACAAAGGAAAGGAGAAAGAAAAGGACAATAGTGGCTTTACTGATCATTCGCCAGTCACTCTGCTACCCACTTTATTCTGACAGATTCACTGAACCTTTACAACTGCCTTATGAGGGACGCAGTTTCCTAAATGCCTATTTTATAGAAGTAACTGAGGTTTAAAGGGCTAAGGTGACTTGGCCAGGTTCTGACCAAGGCCAGCATTCAGTGTTTCAAACATTCCTCCATCCTTTTCTGTACACAGATGCAATCTTTGCATTTTTATCGTCATGTTGCCACACCGCATATGTTTATTATGTGATAATTTTCCTCTATCTCCAGAAGAGCCACAAAGTAAAACCAGATAAGCAAAACTTGGCCTGTGATGTTTTGATTAGTCAGTATGATGCCTTCTTTTCTTTTCTTTTCCTATTCTTTAACATTGTACTACCATCTAACACTTACCTAATCATGTTTGGGGTCAGTCTGATAATCACATGACAGAAGGTCGGAAGCCCACACAAGTTGGATGGTGGGGGCTCTGAGGCTGCTCATCTCTCCAGCACTTGGCGTTCTGAGGTTTTCATTTGAGTATAAACTTTTACCACATGTGCGATCTTATGAAAACCCACTAAAACCTACTTATCCTCATCTGATAAATGGAGACATGTTCAATGAATTGCCTGGTTCACAAGGGTTAACTGAGATAATGAACGTTAAAGCACTTTGCAAGCTCGAAAGTACAGAAGAAATGTTAGTTAACATTTAAAATTTGTGTACTTTGCATTGTAATTGCTAGCCTCTAGAGCAGAGTGGGGAAGAATTACTCATTCTTTCCATGTGCCACAGTGCCTAACTACAGGTCACCCAGAGGTTGTGTTTGAGTAGTACTGAACCATTAAAACTTATAAAATGAAGGAAAGAGCTTTACTGTCAACATACGCATCGCTACTGGTCAGTTTTTAAATTGTGGAAGAAAAAACCAATTTTTCTTTTTACCAAGTCCATTGAAATGAATAGTATAGAAATATTTCTTCAAGGTCAAAGTTATAAAAATATTAATAGTTTTGATCTATTAATCCTATTTCTTATATATTTCCTATATCTCTATCTTCTATCTATCTATCTTCTATCTATCTATCTATCTATCTTATCTATCTATCTATCTATCATCTGTTGGCAAATCTCACTGTATTGCCCAGGGTGGACTCAAACCCATGAGCTCACATGATCCTCCTCCTCCTCCCACCTGGGACCAATATGTGCCACTACATGCAGCTCATTTTTAGTCAAGCACAACACACAAACAGGAAAGCACAGCTATTACAAGGGTACATGTAAATCTTTGCAGCATAAATATACCAATGTAATTATCTACACTCCTAAAACTCCAATGCCAGAAAATATCCCCCTAAGTGAAAGAGCTACATGTCTGAAGATGCTCACACAATGCTATATTGAAAAGGGATGGGAAAAGAAACCTAAATATTTTGTAGAGACATGATTAGGTAAGTGTTAGATATTAGTACAATGTTAAAGAATAAGAAAAGAAAAGAATAGAAGGCATCATATGACTAATCAAAACACATCACGGGGGGGGGG